TGAACTAAAAGAATTAAAAGTCCAACTTCAAGAACTCTTAGACAAGAAATTCATTCGCCTGAGTACTTCACCTTGGGATGCTCCAGTGTTATTTGTCAAAAAGAAAAACGGATCTTTGAGGCTATGTATCGACTATCGGGAATTGAACAAAGTGATCGTTAAGAATAAATATCCATTACCCCGAATAGATGATTTTTTCGAACAACTTCAAGGGGCCCAAGTGTTCTCTAAAATTGATCTTAGGCCCGGATATCATTAGTTAAAGGTTAAGGCAGAAGATGTAGAGAAAAACTGCATTCAGGACTAAATATGGACAGTATGAATTCTTGGTAATGCCTTTTGGGGTAACAAATGTACCTGTAGCTTTTATGGACCTAATGAATAGGGTTTTCAAACAATATCTCGATGAATTTATTGTTATGTTTATTGATGATATTTTGATTTCTTCTAAAGACAGGAAAGAACATAGGAACCATCTAAGAACTACCTTTCAAATTTTGAGAGAAAAGAAATTGTATACTAAATTGTCCAAATATGAATTCTGACTTGACAGTGTAGCATTTTTAGGGCATGTAATCAATAAGGATGATGTCTCGGTTGACCCTCAGAAAATTGAAGCTATTGTGGATTGGCCTAGACCGACCAATGTAACAAAAGTTAGAAGTTTTCTGGGACTGGTCGGTTATTACAGAAGATTTGTGAAAGACTTCTCAAAGCTTGCAATGCCATTGACACAATTGACACAGAAGAATGTACAGTTTGATTGGAATGGTCAGCGTGAATCAGGCTTTTAAGAATTGAAAACCATACTGGTGACTACGCCAATCCTAACTTTACCTAATGGTACTGATGGGTTCCAAATTTACAGTGATGCTTCGTATAAAAGGTTGGACTGTGTACTGATGCAAAATGAGAAGGTAATTGCCTCTGTTTCTCGACAGCTCCGTCCTCATAAAAAGAATTACCCAACCCATGATCTTGAATTGGCAGTTGTGGTGTTTGCCTTGAAAATCTGCCGTCACTACTTATATGGGGTAACTTGTGAAGTATATACTGATCATAAAAGCTTGAAATATTTCTTCACCCAAAAAGAATTGAACATGAGAAAGAGGCGATGGTTAGAGCTAATCAAAGATTATGATTTGCAGATTTTGTATCATCTAGGGAAAGCTAATACCGTAGCAGATGCTTTGAGCCGAAAATCAATGGGAAATATGTCATGTTTACTTACCAGCCAGAAAAAATTGTTGTATGACTTGGAAAAGAATGAGATTGAGATTGTGATACGTGAACAGGGCAGAATACTAGCCGCTATTTCCTCTCAACCTGCAATCGTTGAAGAGATCAAAGAGAAGCAACTTGAAAATGAATACTTGAAAAAGGTTGCAGAAGAATTTGATTCAAAACCGAGACCAAGGTTTGTATTTGAGAAAAATGTGCTAAAATTTTAGAATCGTCTTTGTGTGCCTAATTGTTATGACTTGAGAAAACGTGTTATGTCTGAAGCCCACAATACTAAATTTACTATGCACCCAAGGAATACAAAGATGTACCACGACTTGAAACAAAATTTCTGGTGGCCTGGAATGAAAAAGTGTATTGTAGATTTTGTGGCTAGATGTTTACATTGTCAACAAGTTAAAGCCGAATATCAACGACCCGCTAGTTTGCTACAGTCACTTCCAATACCGGAATGGAAATGGGAGCACATTACCGTGGATTTCATTGTGGGATTGCCTCGCTCTTCTCGAGTTATGGATTCTATCTGGGTTATAGTTGATCGTTTGACTAAGTCTGCTCATTTTCTGCCTGTCAAAACTATTTATAATGCGGACAAATTGGCTAACATGTATGTGAACAAAATTGTGAGATTGCATGGTGTACCAGTATCTATTGTATCTGACAGAGATTCGAAGTTTATAACGAGATTTTGGAAAAGTTTACAACAGGCTTTGGGGACATAACTGAGATTAAGTAGCGCCTATCACCTACAAACAGATGGTCAAACTGAACAAACCAACCAAACCTTAAAAGATATTCTTAGAATGTGTGTGTTAGATTTCCAAGGAAATTGGGAAACTTACTTTCCATTGGCTGAGTTTGTGTATAACAACAGTTACCATTCAAGTATTGAAATGGCTCCTTATGAAGCTTTGTATGGAATAAAATGCCGATCTCCGATATGTTGGGCCGAAGTAGGCGACAGACCATTGTTGGGACCGAAACTTGTGCAAGAAACCACTGAAAATATGAAGTTGATTCAGCAAAGGCTGAAAACTGCTCAAAGCCAGCAAAAGAGTTATGTTGATGTTCAAATAAAGGACAGAGAATATGAAGTTGGGGATCACGTATTCATAAAAGTGACTCCTATGAAAGAACAAAAGCGGTTTGGTGTTAAGGGAAAATTAGCACCGAGATATGTTGGGCCATATGAGATCCTTGAAAAGATCAACCCAATGACGTATTGAGCGGCCTTACCTCCGGTAATGGAGCATATGCACAATGTTTTTCATGTCTCTATGCTTCAGGAGTATTTGAGGGATCCGCTACATATAATCGAGCCAACTTACGTGCTTTTAAAAGATGACTATACCTACGAAGAGCGACCAATTCAAATTGCCAACCGCAAAATCAAAAGACTAAGAAACAAAGAAATCCCATTAGTGAAAGTTGATTGGCAGAATCATGGGGGAACCTATGCAACCTGGGAAACAGAAGAAGACATGATGAAAAGATATCCCGAGTTGTTCCATTTGAATCCAGTGTTCTTCCAAAATGAAGGTAATTCGAGTTTGGAGGACCAAACTCTTTTACGGGGGGAAGACTGTAACAACCCCGACCCATGATTAACACTAATCCATGTTTAAGCATGCCAAATAAGTAATTAAGAAGAAATCTTGAGTCAATTATATGTGCATTGCATTATTTTGTGCTTATATCTGTTTGACGTAGAAAGATCTATTCATGTTTTAGTTTTGATTTGCGAATTGAAAGCCTTATCGGCATCCGACTCAGAAATTGACTTGATTTATGTGTTAATTAGGATTTATAGGATTTTATGGTAAGTTTAATTAAAAGTCGATTTGGAACGATTAAATTAGAATAAATAATGCTAATTAATTTAGCTTATGTTATTTGCATGTATGCCATTGAGTGGGCTTTTACAAGACCATGTTACAACTTATATATGTTTTGACACCATCAATTTCCATCTTCTTCCACAAAATGTGGGAGGGAATGGACACAAACACAGGACACAGATATGCAAGCTTTTAAAAAATGCAGGACACGACACGTTGGGAGGATACGTACAGAACATATAGGAGATTGGGTCCAAGACTTGAGAATTTGAGCTCAAACCAAAAGAAGTGCTAGGAATTGTTGTCAATTAAAGAAGATTTGAGGATCTCAACTTCAATTATTGTAGATTCAAGCCTCTAGGTAAGGGACTAAACTCTTAATTGAGTAATTGAATTAGATTCTACAAGATCACTAGTGGATTAAGTGAATTCATGAGGGAATTACATTAGAATTGAGAAGAATTAGGCCATACCATGCATGCATGTTCATTTCTTCACAAATTGAGCATGATTTCAAATAATTCTTTTATGCATGTGTTCATCTCACTTATATTTTGGAAATTCATCATGTTTTCTATCAAGTTGCCAAGTTTGATCATGTTTTGAAGAGGTTGGGTTTAAGAAAATTCATGCATGTTGTGCTCTTGAAACATTCATAAAGTTTATGTTGGAATTTTGTACAATTGGCAAACTTTTGGGCCTTGATTTCATGAAATGATCTTTAAACCATGATGTTTTGTGAGTTTCTAAACGTTTTCCAGAATTTTGGCCTAAGAGGATGAGTTTTGGGGTGTTGAATTCATGTTTTGAAGCTTGGGAGCAAATCTGGAAAACTCAGAATTTTGCTTCCATGCTCGAGCGAAGGATCCTACGCTCAAGCGACCGTCCTTATTTTCATGCTTCCGCTCTAGCGACAAAGGGCTGGCTCAAGCGTAAATTGAAAGCTCTCAGAAATTTGCGTCTGTAGAAGCACGCTCGAGCGAGAACCCTGCGTCTCACATTCGAGCGAGCGTCGAGCGGAGATTTCGTGCAACCAGAACTTTTTCACATTTTGCAGAACGCTCTAGCAAAGGAGTCTACCCTCGAGCGACCACTCACATTTGGTATGTCCGCCCGAACGAAGAAAGCCACGCTCGGGCGAGACCCCTGTTTTAGCAAAAATTGGCTAAGTTTTTTTTTAAGTACATTTTTGCATCCTCATTCCATCCGAGGCATTCCTAGGCTGTGATTAAGACTCCATAATGAGGTTAAAGGTTAGAAACACACTAAGAACAACGAAATAAGTTGCGTTCAATCCAGGCATGTGTATTCAACGTATGTATTTATCATGCTATGTAGGTCACACGCCTTAAGACAAGTGAACTGCCCACCTTGCCATCTAATTGTCTACCAATTATCTGTAAGTAATAACTCCGTAAAGTTATGTTTAACTTTAATTATTTTCTGATGATACGAGATGATAAGTTTCTGAAATGTTATGTTTTATGTGAATGAATGATTGTCCAATTTTATGTGAAACGTAATTGTGGTATCCTTAGCAGAGGCCCTCGCCCAGAGGACATAATACTGTGGCTTATGGTCATGAGGCCCTCGCCCGTGAGTTAATACCGTAGCCCAGGCCCTCGTCCGGGGGAAAGAATACCATGGCCTAGGCCCTCACCCGGGGGTAACAATACCGTGGCCAATGTATAAGATATGTTACCCAATACCGGATGTTATAAGCTTGACCCAAGAGACATGTTTGTGCTAATGGATGTACCACACATGATTTGAATATGGACAAGATTATGATTCAGTTTTGTTATCTGATTATGATTCTGTTTGCTATGAGATTTGAGTTATGTTGGGCATCATTCATTAAAGTCTTTACTCTATTATTATTTACTGGGCTGTAGCTCACTATTTATATTATGTATGTAGGTGAGCAGGCATGTGACCAGGCCCCAAGTTGACGGCCTATGTTCCCTTTTTGTCAACCAACCTTTGTGCCTTCCAAGGAGGTTCCGAATGAAGTCAAGATTTGTGGTTGTTTTTGTATAATCATGTTAGAATTTGTTTGTTGTTAAGTTTTGGACAAGATGTCTATTAATACACTACTAGAAGTGATATGTAAAGGTTATGTTTCTCAACATCACTCATATGTTTATAAAAGTTTTAAATGATGTGTATCATGTACGTGTTCACGGCTCAATGGACTATATATATTGTATATTTGCTTCCGCAGCCCCTAACTTTATGTTAATCAGTCAAGAGGCCTTGGTAATCCAAGGATTACTGGCCAGTTACGATACTTAACCCATGGGGGGGGTTTGTGTCGTGACACTTAGATATTTTATTGAATTAATCACATACCACCTAGTACCTCACACATACCATAAACAATATTCATGATTTTTTTTTTTTTTTGGTCACCTTTCATATGAAACCTTTCACATCAATAGCCCCGTTTGGTAAAACAAATTTGTAGCTTAAAGCCACTTATAGCTTAAAATAAGTTATTTTAGAGTGTTTGGTAAAAATTATTTCACCAACTTATAGCTTAAATAAAGCGAATTCTCAGCTTATTTTCCAAGTGGGTCTAGAGATGCCTAAAGAGATAGCTTAAGCGCGCAGCTATTATACAGGGTGCTAAAATGACTTAGATGCCCCTCCTAATCTCCATTATTTACGAAAATGCCACTATATATATCACCACATCTCAACACTGTTCACAAACCAGGGAGAGATGCATGTGATTTCCGGCGATGTCTGGTGATTTCCGGCGACGTGTCCCTCACTCCGGCGATGAAACAGAGATCTCTCTCTACTCTCTCTCTCCCTCGCGCTCTCTCTCTTTCTCTCTCTCTCTCTCTCTCTGTGCGCTACATCTATGGCGTCGGTTGATCTCGGGTTCGTCGCCATCGCAATCGCGAAGCTCTGTCTGTCTGAACCCACGCCGTCGTCGATCGATCTGAACCAAGCTCCATCGTCGATTTGAACCAACGCCGTCACGATCTGAACCAACACCGTCGTCGATCTGAATGAACGCCGTCGCGATCTGAACCGTCGCCAGTCGTCGCCCTTGTGCTTTTCAAACCCTAGAAAAAAATTTGAAAATAAACTAAAAAAAAAGAGAAAAATATCAATATTAATATTAATTAAAAAAGAAAAAATTACTTTTCAGAATTAATATTTAACACAATTTATTTCAATTAATAGTTACTTTTCATAATTAAAAAAATTACTTTTGAGAATTAATATTTACTAAAAATGAAATATTACTAAAAATAATTAAAATGAATAATAATAAAGAATAATAATAAAATGAAAAGTAATAATAATAATAATTGATGGACAAAATGATACTAATTTTAATATTTAACACAATTTATTTCAATTAATATTTACTTTTCATAATTAATATTTACTAAAAATGAAATATTACTAAAAATAATTAAAATGAATAATAATAAAGAATAATAATAATATGAAAAATAATAATAATAATAATAATTGATGGACAAAATGATACTAATTTTAATATTTAACACAATTTATTTCAATTGATATTTACTTTTTATATTAACAAAGAAAAGAAACACAGAGAAAGAAGATACGAAAAAAATTAATAATTTTGATAATGAATATATGAAAGATAATATGTAATGAAATCACAACATTAATATAAATTAGAACCTGAATATTAATTTTAATGAATTAATAAGTTAAAAAAAATTAACAAAGAAAGAAGAGAAGAAAAAAAAATTAAAAAGAAAAGAAAATAAGGTGAAAAAGAAAATAAAATAAAATAAAATGAAAAAGAAAAATAAAAAAAATGTATTATAAATGAAATCACAAATTTTATATCTTTATAAGGGCAAAAATGACAATTACACAGAAAAAAACTATTTTACAGCTTATTTACCAAACACTACTCTGCTGCTTAAATCCATAATCCCACAGCTGCACCAAACAGGTTACCAGCTTATGTTCACAGCTATAAGTTATAATCTGTTAAGCTATCATCTATAATCACTTTCTCACAGCTCTACCAAACGGGGCCAATAAGTGTTGATACAGCCTCAATAACAAGGTCAATTTTGGTCTACCAATTTCCTTACAGTAGTTATCCAGACATTCATGTACAAGTCATAAATTATCAATAACAGACTCTAAGATGGGTATCGACGCCATTAGTTCCATACAAAGAGCATGTAATTCTGGAGGTCGTAAACAACTCGCTTAGGTGTATGGTCAATATTTACCCCTCACACGCAAGATCACATATTAATCATCCATGTTGGAAACACCGAATTTAATTGATGGTATGACATCTCTAAATAACATAGACCACATAAGTTTTATTCCAATGATCTCTCATATTTAGATCGCAATAAAGGAACAAGCCTTGAATTAATCCTCATATAAACATTTCATCCTTAATTAGTGATGGTAAGTTTATGATAACAATATGTTAAGTTCAGAACAAAAACATATCAGGGCAAAATTCTGTCTTTCAAACAAGTGGTAGTCTACAAAAGGAGTGCAATTTTCCTTTTATTCACATCCATTCACAAGAGTATGTCCTAATTGAAAGGAGGAACAAAACTTCACTTATCACCCCATTTCTAATCATCGTCTAAGTCACTATTTACTCCTTACCTATTCTTTTTTTTTTTTTTCACAACCTATTGAGTTAAAATGAACATTCACATCAAAACATTCACTATCATAAGTCTATCATCTTATAAAACATATCCCTCAATTCCCTAGCCGATCCTTCGTAGGAAGATTCAAAACATGACTTCCTCTTCACCAATGATCCATTTCAGTGACCCATGTAATTTGATTAACAAGCATAACATCTCATTGCGATAACAATATCCATTCATATCCTTACACATTGTAGGACAACATAAGCAACATCTCATTCTTACTTTTCACCATTCTCACCACCCTTCCCCCAAGACATTAGATACAAATTAGCTTAGTACATAATATCATACCAAATCATTTAAGCTCTATGGTTCAAGATTTCATATAATATTTTCCTCCGTCCCCAGACATACCTCAATTCCCTCAACATACACTATATCTCTACAAATCAATATACTCAAAACCACCAACGTTCTAGTCAAAGATTTCGATTCCCTTGTACCACTAAACTTCCATAAAAATTTCACCTAATACTATATGATCACAAATCACGATACTTGTACTGATTAACATTCTAGGCAGCAATTCTAATGCCCCAACTCTTAATCACTATAATTCCATACTTGTTATTGATCACCAAATATCTCAATCGCAATAATTCCACAATTTGTTAGCCACCATAATTCTATTGTCTCCCTCTCTCAAATATTCTTTCCATGGCTTCAAGCGAAGATCTAAATCTCTTATCATTTCATGTTTCCACAACTCAACATGCTTGCACTCCCCATTATTCTAGTCAAAACACCACAATTTCATAAACCTTAGCCTTCTATTTCCTTATACATATCGTTTAGCAAAATCACTTTTCTAGGCTCAAGACTTACACTATAAACCAAACGCATCTTGATCTCTTCTTATCGTTAAAATTTCATGATACTTTCAAGCTTCCATACATTCTTCAGAATACATAACATATCACTTTATTACCGAATGCATACAACTTAGATCGATTCTAGACACTCTAATGGTCAATGGACACGTGTGTGAGATCACAACTCGTGCTTTGATACCAACTGTCACGACCCAAACCTGCCCCAAAAAGTTTGGTCCATGACCGGCCTGTACATCGGCCTCAAAACAAAATTTCATGAATATTTATTCAAATACGGGGCCTTAAGCAGAAGCAAATACCAACATAAAGATAATGCCGATTGAGCTTGTGCATATATAAACACTTAAATTAATTTAAGCATTTAAATACACTTTCCATATATACATATAATCACAGAACTTATATAGATCTCACACACAAATACATAAGACTTAATAAAATACACAATTTTCCAATACAAAGTTAAAGTCTCGACACAGAGGTGTAACCCGGGTGGCTTGACAAAGAGACGAACCCCAATACAACTCTAGTGTTGGTCCCTGATGGCTCGCCTACATATATATAAAATAAAGGGGTGAACTAACGCCCAGTGAGTAATATTAAAGTAAAGAGGTTAATGAATGATGTCCTTAACATTAGGTAAACGTATTTCACAATTTAGAAACATATCATAAATCTTTTCAAAACAAACATTTATCGTATCATAATCCATACCTTTTCGAATGGAATATATAATTGAATTATTACAAAACATTTTACGTGGTACGTGGTACGGCCACTTATACAAAAGGTTAGAAACACATTTTAAAATAGGACATCCATTCATGCATATAAAATAACACATCATAACATGAGTCATATAGCGATGTCAAAACCTTTGTATTCATATCATATGTTCTGAACGACCTCGGGTCCATGTATAACAAAACGGCCTCGGGCCCAATCATATATCAAAACGACCTTCGGTCCAAACGTATCATATCGTATCATTGTATCTAATCATGGAGTAGATGGAACATCGACATGTCTCCACCTCTCCTTGGGCTCAATTCATGTATGTATGGACTCAAGAGGTGTCTCGTACAGACTCTAGAGGTGACTCACACTGTAGCACTTAGTTCCGTATAGCACTTTGTTCCATACCCAAAATGATTAGGTCTTAAAGACCGAACAATTCATCTCATGCCATAGCATAAACGGGACAGATAAACAGAACGGCCTTGGGCCCACCATATCATATTACAAATAATTCACGTTTCTTGTTCATAATTCATTTTGCATTTCTTAGAAACTTGTGCATTTAGAGAAAATCTAACATTTAGAGAATCATGTCATACATAAATCAAGAGAGATAATGAAAAATATATCTTTACTATACTAATACTCGCAATGATGGGCTCCTGGTAGTAGTGGGACGATGTCCTCGTCTTGACCTACAAACACAATGCACGTAGCGCAATATATGAATATAATCGATTCCTTACTTTACTCTTCAACCAATTAGTTATGTTGGTTCTAAACTCATAGGTCTCCAATGGGTCATAATTCATATCAAGGAAAACAGGAAGAAATGAAAGGAAACTGGGTTAGGAGAGAAAATGGCATGAAACGGTTGAACAGAATGTGAACAACCCTCACTAA